ACACAATAATACACTACATACATACATACATACATACATATACACACACACACACACACACACACACACACACACACACACACACACACACATATAGTTATAGTTATACAGTATACACTTCAAGTAGTATTCCTAATAGTAATGTATACCTAAGATCAATCAGTGAACTTTGGAGTAAAGAGGTTTGGAAGGGATCCCTAGAGGTCTTCTAGTCCAACCCCCTGCCCATTGCAAGTTTCCTGTTTTTTACTGGCATTGTAACTTTTAGTGGTGACTAAATTAACTGTTTGGAAGTCAAGGCCTTGGCTTGCAAATGCTGCCATCCTAAGAGCTCAGTCAGGCAGAATCCTAGAATCCAAAGTTTGGATTCAGTGCAGGGATATTTCTAAATTCCACAAAAACTCATACAGCTCTAAAAGGAGATGCTTGCAATGGTCCAGGGGAAACAGATGCTGACTCATCTTATTTGAAGAACTGTGCAGCAGCTGCTTAATAGAAATTTACTTTCTACTTGCAAGTCACTTTACTAAAAGTCATCTTATTGGAATTGCTGGTTAACAACCATGCAAAGTGGGGCTATCAAAATAACAAATCCTGAATACAGAAACTGCACCAGGCTCATATCTTAGCAACACACAAGAACCCCCACCAGGTTACTTGATTACCGGTAGTGCTAATAGACCAAAGTGTTCTTCCAACAATGATTGCTACTGAAATATGAAAAAGGGTGACATGAAGGCTAAACTCTTCAGCGTTTTAGGAAAAGGCACACTTGACTTTGACAACATCAGTTGACAACATCGATCATCCCTTCAGTTCACACTATCCATATCTGGTCAAAGCTTTGCTCAGCTCATCAGGTTTCTTCAAATAAATTATGGTGTGTACCTCTATACTGCATGCAGTTATCTGAATGAAATATTAGTCAGTTTGAATCTCATTATGGGACATTTATGAAACTGTACAGAAAGCAAGATATCAAAGACTAAAGTAGATGATATAGCAAAGGTTATACCATTACTCAGCCTTAAGCCTACCCAGATCGTATGAACGCTTTGGAGGATTGTTTTTTCTCTATACCCTTTTTCTTCGTTTGTGTAAATGCAGGACCAAGGCCGGACCGTGTCCTCTCCTGTACCGATCTAATAGGCCCAGGGCAGGGCAACGCAATTGGGCCTCAGCGCCCACCCGGTGCTGGCAAGGGGCTCCAGAGCCTGGCTCCCTCCGGCCCGCCGCCCTCACTCACCCGGGGTGCGCTGCCCACTGCTAAGCGGGTGCCAGGGGTCTGGATCGGTGGCTACCAGCAGGCACCGCGGGTCGCGCAAATAGGCGCAGGCCTCCGAGAGCTTAGCGAAGGTGAACTGGTCGTCGTAGCCGACGACGACAGCGCGCACCGGGAGGCCCTCCTGGCCCGGAGGCTCTTCGTCGCCGTCCCCTTCTTCGTCGGTCAGGCGGAGCCCCGCGTCGCGCAGCTCCCCGCGCAGCCCTTCCCCGCCCAGCACGAAGACCCGGCCCGGGGTCGAGGCGGCCGAGTCTCCGTCTCCGGCTTCCCCGCCCAGAAGGCGCTTGCGGAGGTAGAGAGCGGAGCAGAGAGCGGAGCTGAACACCTGCTCGCCGCGGACGCCGCGGAAGCCCAGGCGGGAGAAGCGACGCTCCAGCTCGGCCACCGAGCGGCGGCTGTTGTTGGACACGAACAGGGTGATCTTCCCGTTCTGGTTCAGGCGCTCCATCAGCTCCGGCGCTCCGGGCACCGCCCGCTCTCCGGTCCATAGGACCCCGTCGCAGTCGAAGAGCAGCCCCTGCGCCTCGTCCAGCACCTCGCGCAGACAAGCGCCGCTCAACCGCTTGCAGCCCGCCATGCTGGAACTGCACTCGCCACCCACCCCCCGTCCCCCTCTCCCGTCCTCCTCGCGGAGACGCAGCCAATCAGAAGCGCGCCGTTCCCTTGACGGGCTTAGGAAACGGTACCAATCAGATGCCTGGAGAGCCGGGGGCTCGACCTGGTTGGAACGACACGGAGGGGCGGTGTGGAAGATCGGGCGGAGCTGGGAGCGGGGGGGGGTGTCCGACGTCCTATCGCGGGTTGCTGGCGCGATGAAGGCAATTGAGAGGGAAAGGCAGGACGGTTTGCCCGAGGCGATGAAAGCGAGGCGGGCTGCGTGAGAAGCGGTGCACAGGGGTGGGGGGCGGGAGAAAGAAAGAAAAAAATGCAAAGAGGGCGTTCTGAGCAAAACCCGCCAGGGGGCGCTCGTCTTCCTTTCTAACTGAGCAGCGGGAAGGGTAAGCGAGTGTTCCTCCGCCCCTGCAGCTTTAGCCTATTGGTGGAAGAAAAGAAGGAAGAGGCGGGTCAAAATAAAGTGGCACGTGCTGTAAACCTGCTAAATCAAACGGTTAAAAAAAAAGCTCGACGGGCTCCTCTTGCAAAGGAGCGTTTGAAAAACTCACCTTAGGGACCGTGAGAAAAAGCGGGGTACAGAGGGACATTATTATATGGGAGATTATATCCTAAACCTACCTACTTAACTACCTATCTCTATCATATCTCTGTCTGTTTATCTCATCTATCATCTATCTTCATCATGTGATTTAAATAGTGTCAGTCTCACATATATGACTCCTATGCTGAAGAAAATAGCAATAGCACTTAGATCAGAGATGTCATTCATCAAGTTCTGACCAATTCCGGAGAACCGGTAGCAGAAATTTTGAGTAGTTCAGAGAACCGGTAAATACCATCTCTGACTGGCCCCTATTCTCTGCCTCCTGAGTCCCAGCTAATCGGGAGGGAATGGGGATTTTACAGTCTCCTTCCCCTGCCACCCCACCATGCCATGTCACACTCACCAAGCCATGCCCACAGAACCAGTAGCAAAAAAAATTAATCGCACCACTGACTTAGACTAATATACCATTTCAAAGTTTACAGAGTCAGCTGTACCCCCCCCCCCAACAATCTGGGTCCTCATTTTGCAGACCTCAGAAGGATGAAAGGTGGAGTCAACCTTGAACTGGTCAGGATTGACTGTTGGCAGTCTAACAGAATTAACCTTGCAATATTGCATTCTAACCACTGCACCACCACGGCTCCTTATTAAAATAGTACACCTGTTCAAGTCATCCAAACTACTGATTCATTTTTTTTCTCCTGGAAGTATTCTTGCTACCTTAAGAAAAAAAAACCTGTTGGTAAACTCTCTTCAAGAAGCTGGTTGAGGATAAATGCCAAACAGTTGCCATAGAAATTAAGAGAATTGCCTGAGATACTGCTATCACTTCTTTTTTTCCTCTGTGAAAAGAATAAAAATAAGGTGGCAGCCTGTAGGAGAAGGAGTGGCAGAACCTAGGGGTGGAGTTAAAAGAAGAATCAGCCTAGAGCTGAGATGGTGAACCTATGGCATGCGTGCCACATGTGGCACGTGTAGCCATTTGTCAGGGCACACAAGGCGTTGCCCTGTCAGCTGGACAGCGTGCATGCGTGTGCTGGCCAGCTGAGTTCAGCCTTTTTAAAATAAATTTTTCACCAACCCCAGGCTCCAGAGGCTTTATAGGAGCCTGGGGAGGGTAAAAAGAGCCTCCGCCCTCCCAGATGCCCTCCGGAGGCTTCAGGAGCTTCCCTGAAGCCTCCGGAGG